TCTGATCATAATGGCGATAGGTGGAATATTATTGTAAAAATTCGTCTCCAATCGTGCATTTTACGATGCATATATTCAGTCATCAAACAATCACATGCAAATCTCTTGCTGTATTACTGTGAAGAAGGTTCATGCATGCAAAAACCATCCGCTCGATGCGGACAACAATAACTCATGGATTAAATTTACGAGTGCTGTTAGTCGGAATAAGGTTGTGGGATGATTATGGAAAAAAAAACACACTTTTAGCTAAAACTGCGTAAGCGTTCGTCAGCACATTGCATGCGTTTTGTGATAAAGCAGCGCATTTTTGGAAGGAAACGTTAACAGATGAGTGTTTGTTCGAATTTCATAAACTGCACTCGAAAAGCTGCAAGCAATAATGAGTCTGATAACCTTCATAAGGATCTAAGTTAACGTTAACAAAATTCCGTAAAATAAATTGATATCGAATATTGATGACGAGCAGAGAGGGCGCAATATTTTATGGTCATCAAACGAAATGTAGCGAATATTTCGATCAGATTTATTCGACACTTATGAGTTAGCCGTCGTTCTTTGGGAGCTATGAAGGATTGCATCAGCAGCTATTTATGGTTAGTAGGAAGAGCCAACTGAACACAACCGAATAATTAACTAGTTGATCATCGGTTGGCCTGCTCGCCTAGTCAGCGGAGTGGCGTCAATTAGGGTTAGAACAGTGCGAAAGGAAACGCGAGCATTTTGGCCAGCAATGTTACAAACGTCTGATAGCCTGGCCAATTCACGTAATCCAGGGCTATGAAGGGCCAAGCATTCAGAACTGGGCAACAAAGTTTCCAGGCAAAATTCATTGTGGCTTCAACGCACACTAACCTTGATGGAACGGACTGCACCGCTGACGTTTCTGCCGTGGTTGCGATACGCACCTCCTGATGGATTCGGCTATTGGAAAATGAAAAAGCAAGCCGCAGAAGTGCATCAAATGATGAGGGATGAGCTTGAACAACGGCTGCAATCACAAGGTTCAATCGCTTATCGAAGTGTTAAATTCCGTAAATTTTTTTGGAATCGTTCTGTACATATTTGAGTGAGGAATCCAACAGGTATCGTAAGTTTGTCATTGATGAACGTTTAGCTGAGGACTGAATTTGATTCGTTACTAACTCAACGCACTAATAAAATATGATTCACTGCCAAAACGTACGAGAAATCGGAATCTTTACCCGGGTAAGACTAGCTGACAAGTGTCCACATTCGGGCTGAAACTGTGTCGGGCATTGCTCAAGCAAGATATGTCTAAAACAAGATATTAGCTTAAGTCGAGATGTTAGTTTGAAGCTCAGTCCGCGTATGAGACTGAGACAATTCGAAATTTTGAGTTGTCGGCGGCTTTCAGTCGGTCTGATTATAGATTATAAGGATGAATCAAAAAGCGATTTGACGAGTGTGTTACTGCGGAAATTAGATGAGGTTCGATCGGACAGATCGGCCACTGTTATCGAGCAACGTAATTTCAATGAAGATAGGATTGCAATGCTCATGACTGAGATGTTCTTTGCTGCAATTCAAACTGAATGCAACACATTCGGATGGGCATTCCTCTACTTCATCGAGCATCCTCAGGTCCAACAAAAGTGTCGTCAACAAATTCTTGCCAAGGTTCTTGAATTACATTCTGCCTGTGCGAGCGTTTTTGTGTTTGTTTCTCACACAAAATCTGCCTAAGTTCGTTACTTCAGGACAGAAGCCACTACCAAGCAGTTTCTGAAATGTATGAATTGAACCGATTTCTGTGTTCACTGGTCATATAACCTCACTGAAATTCAATGATTAATATTCATAACCTTTCGAGCTCTATTTGTGTCGTTTCCTTCAATCGTAGAGTACTTTCAGTTCGGTACTGAAAGTCGAGTACGTTGGTCGGATCGAGTCCATCTTCCATATGTAGAAGCAACGGTTTTTGAGGTGCAGCGATGCGCGAATATTGCACCGTTTAGTGTTTTTCACAGGTGAAAATATTTTACAACTTTGGCATAGCAACAGTTTGAACGATCGCGAACCGATGACTCACGGGACGAATGCTGAGAGCAAGCCTTACTCTTTGAAGATGAAATATGTACTTTCAAGAAGTCGTATGCTAGTCGCAGAGAACGCCTTCTAATCATTTATCAGTTGACAGTGAAGAATTTCCGAGACATTCCATGTTATCCCCCAAGAAAGTATTCCCATAACTGATTTTCATTTTGTTCGCTAAAGGAAAAAGGAAGGTTTTATGAAAGTTTAGTATGAGAACTAATTTTGTGGTTATTGAAATGGTCGATTGCATAAACCATTTTGTAGGAATTATCACGCCACCACTCTTGATGGCTATTATGTACCGGCTAATTCAACTATTCTGATGAATCTGTACTCAACATTGATGGATCCGAATTGCTTCCGAGGCGAGCTTCACTTTTCTCTTTATTTCTTCCACTTCTTTCTAAAAACTTTCCTTTGTCATCATACGAAGATGCTTCTGCGCTAAAAACTTTACGCTTACGACGAATGAATACATTGCTACATGTCATTCAGTGTAGACAGCGATATAATTCCATTTTTGATTGTTGCGATTCATAAATAATATCAGCTGTCTGCATTAAAAATGCATCAAAGTTCTTCCTTTTTGAAATGCGTCACAATCTGAATTATTTAAGCGGTTGACGCTGACTAGAGATTGAAATACTTTGGAATGATTAATCTGACACAAATTATTTGGTCGACGAAGACTGCTATCGTTTTTTGTCCCTTTCGTTGAATTTCACTCTTACACCAACGGTTGTCCAACCGAGATATTGGTTCGAAATTTACAACTCTCATGCGCAATAGCAACAACAATTGGAAAACGGCAATCAGATGAGCAATTGTTTCAGACCCGCATGCGTTTAAGCCAGAACGATTCCTGGACGACAATGACGAGCTGTCCTTCAGAAAAATGCACGGTCTCTATTTGTACGGCCTAGGGAAGCGAATTTGTATGGGTGAAAGTATTGCCAGATGTGAATTGTTCACTGTGATTTGTGCTCTTTTACAACGATATCGATTCCGAAAAATTCCGGAACGAAGCTATTCGCTGGAGAAGAAGATGGAACTAACAATTCATGCGGATCCGTATGAGTTGTTGGTGGAGCCCTTGTAGCCGATAATAGACTGGTTGAGGCGGGGAGCGTATTGGTTACTCAATATTCAATGCTAACTGGCAATACTTCGCGACNGTTTTATGCTGATCGTAAGTAATTCACAACATTGACCGTTTCATCGGATCAGTACGCTTTTCTTTCCCACAACTTTTCCTGCAATCATCAGTTGAGCATAGCATCAAAATGTTCGATTGCTCGCATCTACGCTAAAAATTGTTTGAATGTGTTTTCACGGCGAAACCCTTAATGCGCCACCACGTATTTTGTATGATTGAACCAACGGAAAATTAGAAAATTCATTTAAAATTTCATTAGGAATGTTTACCTGTAACGTTATGACTACGACGTCATGAGGTGAACTGAGCATCTCTCATAACTACATCCTCCATCTACCGTAAATGCCATGTTTATCGTTCTGGCTTATGGTTGATGACGCAGAAGAGTGGTTACACGGATGTGCAATTGTTTGTGCATGTACCATATTTCATATACGTTAATTTAGGTGTTCTTATACAATCATGACGTTCAAGCAATCAATCTACAATTGAATTCGTGATCATTCGCATTCGTCGCCTCCCATCAGACTGAAAAATGTTTCATTGTTGATAACAACTATCGCTGTACGTTTTCCTCCGATCGAATTGAATTTCCTGAACACCCCTGATTTTTGGTGTTGTTAACTGCCGTATTGTATGGTGATAATTTTTTCATGGGAAGGATTCAACTCGAAGAGTTTTCACTTGACATGTACTTTTCATTCGTTATATGACAGAATTGTTCTGATATGAAATCGTTCTTCAATAGTGAGTGGGACGTTAGTAAGTTCAGGTTTTTTTTGATGAAAGCACACGATAAAGCATAAAAGGAATGCCAGAAGCCGAATTGATACGCAATCATCCATCACTCCATCACCGTTATGAACTCTCCTCTTTGCTCGGCTTCTAACTCTCCCCCGCGATTATTTGTGTAGTTTCGTGCTATTGATCTCGTCCTGTTCAAAAAATTAGGAAAATTCTCAAAAATTCAGTTTCTCTTCGAAATTGTTCTCTTTTTTTTTTCTCATTCAACTACGAGCGAACAATCAAGAAACAAGAAAAAAAGTGAACACTCAAGGACCTAGACGTGATAAACTTACCGTATATTATTACAAAATCATTTGGCTTTCCGTGCATAACACTGCAAACAGCTCAACAAATCTTTTCTCGGCTCAATTCAAAATTTTCAACTGAATTGACCACTCGATGATAACACTGATGATCTCATACGATTTTCGATCGTTTTGTCAAACCAAACCGCAGTTGACTCCCTTTGTTGGATAAAATTGTTTCCTTCTCCCAGACACTGATTAGCTTTTATATCTTATAATCAATTGTCAATGGATGCTCTTGTTTCTGCTTTCAAATGATGTTAATCCAGATTTATTTGGTAGTTTATTCCACAGGCTTACCAGTAATGTTGCACTATATAAATGTAAATGAAATGCGTGGTGTGGAACAAATGTGCTCATAGAAGATCTTCAAAAAATTCTTCATTCAAAATCATGTTTATTCTTATATGAGTTCTTAGCTAGGCTAAAATTAGAAACGCGTGGGGCCATATGAATACATAAATGTACTATTTTTTAAACACATAGCTACATATAAATAATGCAAATTGTGGAGACAGATACGCGATAACGATGCTGCCATCTGCAACAGTTGCAAACTTGAAATCGCTATCAAAATGAATGCAATTCTAAAAAAATTAAAATCGTTGCAAAATCCATCGTATCAAATCAGTTGTTCAACATTCCACACTTTGTCTAATGACCCATTGCCGGACAAATAATGTATGTGATGAAGTATCAGCTGCATCGATCCTTTCAAAAAACAACGAATTCGGTTTTTTCAACCCCACTAAAGCAGATGCTAATGAATATAAACTTAATCATGTCCAAATATCGGAGTTTTTTAATAGTCTAAATTCGGTGGAAATTATGATTTGTGATTACTTAATCGTTCTTAGAAATTGTCACTGATCGAGATCATGGGATTCCTGATCTCTTTTCCTTGGCGTCAAATAATGATTTTTTCGCCGTGTACTTTGGAAGTTACAATGAAAAAGGGATGAAATCATTTCCACAAATGCGCCCAATTCTCATTTGTCACTGTTAATAAGTATGATTGCGCTGATTCGAAGACGATATTATCTCTTATTCTCATTGTTTCATTTCTTGCTAATTTCATTGCTATTACCACTATCATTACTGTGCCTAATGCTATAACTATTGCTGTTGTTACATCCATTACCAATATGTTATTTTTATAGTCCACTATTAACTTTAAAAATTAACTCATCACTGTTAATAGCACACCGCTGTTAACTTTTGTTGTCCGATTCATCGAGCATGATGTTAGAGCGCTTTGCGTTTCATTTTGTATGATAGCTTGTGCATATTTTTTTCAATCGGCAATGAATCATTGATGATTCGTTGAAGAACTGCACTTCAATATGAAAACAGCCCTGTTAAAAGAGAGAATTTATGAGCAATCATGTACTCTCGCAATTCGACAGATAATCGTCTGAGTCCTAATAAATTCAAATTGTTCTCTTTGTTTTCGAGAAAATGAAATAGCCGAACTGTTAATGCTGATTCATAGACGATATTCATTCGGGAACTGAATGAAATTTTCCACTCAAAAACTTTCTGAAGGAAACAACTATTGAGAAAGAGATGCTGGCTTTGAAAATGAATGCAAAACAAGTGAATTCTACAAGTGCAAACTGCTAAAGCTAAAA